TGACAACTCAACATTCTGAATGGTAGATTCAGAAGGCTTGGCTTTGGAAAACACTGGTTTTGATTCAGATTCAGCTTTACAAGCGTCTGAAATGGCAGTATCTGCTCTCTCCCCAGCCTCTGAATGTTCGTTATCTTTTTCCAACCTAGCAGCTTGTTTATCCTCTTCAACAGTGGTTTTATCAGGAGAATGAAGTGACCTGTCAGTTTTAGCCTCTTCTTTTTCCTCAACTTTGGGTGGAATCTGCGAAGATTCAAGTTTTCCTGATGACTCAACATCACTCTCCTCACTTTTATGACCCATAAAGGCCATAATTGGATCAAAGAGTGCTTTTCTGTCTGAGGACCACAATCCAGAAGCTGGAATGAATATAGACAGGAAGTCATAAGTACGATTCGCATTATAACTTCCATGTAATAATGACCAACATGCTTTTCAATTTTGAAAATCTTATATTGAAATGAATAAGCAATTAGAAGCATCTTTTCCTTTTGTCCTTTTCTTTCTTTCTTATTCATTAGATTGATTTTAATTAGAATTCTTGCATCTTTGATCTTTGATACAAGCGGTTATTGCTAGTTTAGGTCTATTGCATGTATTTAAGATTAATTCAATTTCAAAACAGTTCGGTTAGCACAACTTAGATTGATCTTAGGTTAATTTGCTGCATATTAGATTTAATTGTTTGTTCTTAGGTTAATTTTAATTCATAACAGTTTAGTTGCATGCCTTAATAATTAATTAAGGTTAGATATATATGGTTAAGGTTAAATTTGCATAAACTACTTGCTGTTCAATTCAATTCAGTTGAGGTTTAGTTTGGTCAGATTAATTTTGCATGTTATTGAGTTATTTAGCTTAGGTCTTATTCAATTATAATTAATTCGTTTATATTACTTTCGGTTCTTGAATAATTTGCTTAATTTTGCATGTTTAAGTGGTTATTTAGTTGTTACATAGTAATTGAGTTATCTTTACTTATTGGTTTGCAAGTTCATTTTTCAATTGTGTTCTAATTTTAGATTTTATTACATATGAGGATTAGTTTGCTTGTTTTAAGGTTATTTGCATAATTTATATTCTATTTTTGCATATCTTATTTGAATTCTCCATGTATAAGTAAGGGTGAGATAATTTTGGTACTTATTACTCTCATATTTACAATCACCGTGAGAATGATCTTTATTTACTACTTACACGATTCTCAGCGCTTGCAGATTTTCAATCAAATTTTTAGCGTTGTTGCCAAGGATTGAAAGTAGTTTCAATATTGATACTAATCATTCTTCTTGTAGCTTGGATTTTATTTTTCTTGCTTTAATCTGTTTTGATTTTCTTGTTGTGTATGCCAACAGCTGAAAGTTCTAGTTTAGTGCCCTTAGATAAGGAAATAGAGCAAACTCTTTAAAAAGATTAAAAAGGGTAAAAAGCAAGCAACTCTTAATCCATCCTGGCTGACCAACAACAAGAGAGTCAAATAACACTTAGGGACTATGCTATCCCTCAATTAGATGGGTTTCAACCTAGTATAAGTAGGCCCATCAAGCCAATAATTTTGAATTGAAACCATCTATCATAAATATGATCCAAAACTCTCTGCAATTCTGTGGGTTACCCAGTGATCACCCCAATTTACATTTAACTAATTTTCTGAAAATATGTGATACTTTTAAGCAAAATGGAGTTACTGATGATGCCATTAGACTGAGATTGTTTCCTTTTCCTCTCAAGGATAAAGCTAAATGTTGGTTGGTGTCTCTCCTTCTTGGCTCAATCGCTACACGGGATGGCGTTGTGCAAAAATTCTTGGCATGATTCTTTCCTCCCTCTAAAACAGCCAAGATGCATAATGATATTACTTCCTTCAAACAATTTAAGGCCGAATCCTTACCTGATGCATGAGAGAGATATAAGGAGCTGATAAGGAGATGCCCTCACCATGATTTGCCCAAGTGGTTACAAGTGCAAATTTTTTATAATGGGCTGGTGGGGCAAACTAGAACCACTATTGATGCTGCTGCTAGAGGTGCTTTAATGGGTATGTCTATAGATGAGGCTTATGATCTAATAGAGGAGATGGCCATGAACAATTATGAATGGGCCAATGAAAGGTTAGTACCTAAGAAATCAGCCAATAAGTCTTTCATTAAACTAGAACTCTCGGCTCTTGGCATACAAAACAAGAAAAATCAAAACAAATTAAAGCAAGAAAAATAAAATCCAAGCTTGAAGAAGAACGATTAGTAGTGATATTGAAACTACTCCTTCCAACAACCAGTAACGACGCCAAAAACTTGATTGAAAATCTCCAAGTGCACAGAATCATACAAGCAGTAAATAAAGATTGTTCCCATGAAATTGTAAATATGAGAATAACAAGTACTGAAATTGTCCCACCCTTACTTGGAGAATTCAAATAAGATACGCAAAAACAGAATATAAATTATGCAAACAAACTTAAAACATGCAAACTAATCCTAATATGCAATAAAACCTAAAATTAGAATGCAATTGAAAAATTAACTTGCAAACCAGTAATTAAAGATAACTCAATTAACTATGCAGCAACTAAATAACCACTTAAACTTGCAAAATTAAGCAAATTATTCAAGAACCCAAAGTAATATAAACCAATTAATCATAACTGAATAAGACCTTAGCTAAATAACTCAATAACATGCAAAATTAAGCTTACCAAACTAAACCTAAACCGATTTGAATTAAACAGCAAGCATTTTACACAAATTTAACCTTAACTAGATATATCTAAGGCTAATTAATTATTAAGGCATGCAACCAAACTGTTATGAACTAAAATTAACCTAAAAATAACCAATTAAATCTAATATGCTGCAAATTAACCTAAGATCAATCTAATTTGTGCAAGCCGAACTGTTTTGAAATTGAATTAATCTTTAATACATGCAATAGATGCAATAGACATAAACTAGCAATAACCAAATTTACCAAAGATCAAAGATGCAAGAATTCAAATTAAAATCAATCTAATAAATAAGAACAGAAACTGTTTTTAAGATGAAAACTTGCAAACCGAAACTTTCATCCAATTAATTATGCAATTTAACTAATGGAAACCCTAAACATGCAAATCACGCAAATTGGAATCAATATGAACTAAATCTCAACCTAATAACAATAATTGAATGTTATAGGATGAAATTTAACATGCAATTAAGAGAATAATATGAAAAAAGTAGCTAAACTGCAACAATTAATCGAAGATTAAGCAAGATCGCAACTAGACTAATCAAAAATCAAAAACTGAATTGCAATAACTAATAATTAAACCAATTGCATCAAGATTAAATTAAACTGAATTGAAAAGAACTAAAAACAGAACTTTATTGAATTGAAAATTTAAAAAGAAAGTTGAATAATCTGAAATTTAAAAGAACAGAAAATTTAAAGAACAAAGAAGCCTTAAAAGAAAATAAGAAGAAACTATGGATTGGTCTGTCACTCCAACCACTTACACCTTTTCCTAAGACTTAAAACAAGGTATTTATAGGCAAAAGATCCCAAGAAGTATTCGGCTGGAATGGACTCTCTTTTGCAGCTCAACGGGTCCGGTTGAACTTGAATTCTTGAATCCAAGAATGCTTCTCTAGTTGAATGCAAATAGAACTCTTCACAAAGAACTCTTGTAGATCATATCCTGTCTTCTGGATCATAAATCCTCTTCTTTCTTAACAGCCATTACCATTCACCGAAATGAACGTAGTATCCTAAAGTCAAACTTATGATAAACAGAGGTTTACACTAGAAATTTGCATTCAAATGCATAAAGATTGCACAAAAAACAAACAATGCGAACAATGCAAAAAAAAAAAAAAAAAGTACCTTCATTGCTGCTTGATTCAGACTTCTCTTCGAAACCTAGAGCAGTATCGAAAATTTTCTCAATATTCTTCACGCTCTCCTGGAGTTTATTAATTGCCCCGGCAAGATCAGGAAAGCCCCCTAAGGACACCTTCCCTCCAAACCAAGCCATCCTTTTTTAGATTTAAATTCCCAAAATAACTCGAACCGATAACTGAAATCTACCGATTCAAGCGCATCAGAGGCCCTACATTTACATGCCAAAAATAAAATATAAAAAGGTGACATGATCCAAATTGTTCAAATCAGAATCCAACAAAATGTAAATCGCAGCTCGCATTTAGGAAAGAACTACGATTATAAGATCCAATCAAAGAAATAAAAAAGTCACTGCGAATTAATTGAGAAACTAAGCGTGAAAAGAAAAAATGGAAAACTTGAAACGAAACTATGAAAACACTACTGCAATTAATTAATTATAAGTAAATTAGAGAAAGTGAAAAGGACACCTGAATTAAGAAGGATAAACAATTAAATCGATTTGAAAGAAATTACACACTTTTTTCTAAAGATACCGCGAGAGTCAAATTGTCGAACCAAGATTTTCATTTTTCTCTCGGTTTTAGAAAAATGAAAGGGAAAAGAGGGAAGCATGAGTGAGAATCGACCTGCTCGTGGATTTTAGATTTCAAATCATCGAGATTTGAGACAAGTTTGGTTTGGAGGGTGGCAGAGAGGGTCGGTGGATCCAGGAAGCAAGAGAAGTGGGGTCGCTCAGCTTCGCTCCGTGAGGTTTTTTTTTTTGTTTTTTGATTAAGCTGATCAATTCTGGGTGGCACGTCGTCGTTTTGCAGGCAACTGAATTTCGATGAATCATTATTTCACTTTAAATAGTATTAATTCCTTTTGTTTATTTTGTGAAATCTAAAATGCAACTACAAATTACCATGCCATGAACATGATGATAACCCAATTCCAAAATAGAAATATTAATAATTAACTAGCCTAATATGTTTTTTATACATAGAAAATCGCAACATAAACATAATATATATTATATATATATAAAATATCACAATATTAGAATAAGAAAAAAAATTATAAATGCTGAAAGTCAAAACTTTAAACATGTGGGACACTACTATCATCTAAAAGTGACATTGTTTATACCAAGTGAACTAAACTAACATAATTTGTTTAGTAAAAGGTATCATTTTAAATTATTACTATATCAATTATAATTTTAGTGATTTTCAAATGCCAACACGGGGAAACAGTGGTATGCCGTGACCTGCCCGATAACTTTGACACAGATATGTTTCAGTTGTTTCTATCTTTATGAATAGAGGAACTCTGGACAACGTAGGCCCTTGGTTCAACTTTCAAGTGTTTTTAATTAGGTTGCATTTGAAGTTAAAAGCATCACACTTCACACTAATACAAAAAGATTACACCATGAAGATGCCACCATATTTCAATTATCACTGCAATACGATCCACATACCAACTGCAGGATTGGTCATTTGTGATATTCAGAAATTACAACACCCTCAATTACATGCAAGTACGGCTTTGCCAGCAGCAGAATTCACTGTCCAAAAATTTCTGATATTGACTTCTTGATGATTTGGAACAGTTCTTTCCTGCGAGAAAGGTAAAGTTCCAGAGTTTGGTTGTTCCAGACTGAGTAAAAGTTTCACAAATCACCTATGGTGTTCTCTTTTTGAAAGTAGTGTATTTGTGTCATGCAATTTGTGTATTCGTATCATGTTTTACATAAAAATTGCATGTCACAATTTAAATCGACATAGAAAACATGAAATATATTTTTTGGTTTTTACTAAAATTTTAACTCATTTCACTTTCATATCTTTTTTCATATCATTTTCGTATTATATCACCATATCATGTTTTAAATTGTCAGCTCTAGATCTCTCATTTACAAGTAACATCTATAGGTTTCACCATAAACCAATCTCGAAAATCAAGGAATTCTACTTACCGATCAGGTTCGAACAAGAGATATCGATATATAAACCACTGAAAAGGAAGAAAAATATGAGTTAGTAGTTGAAGCCTTGGAGGAGAAATGGGGAAACATAAACATATACCAGTGAAATAGTAACCATGGGCTGAAAGCTGATGGGGGATCCAAAATAAAAAGAAAATAAAGAAGAGACTTTCGGTCTTTATAAACTAGCTAGAGCTCTCAGCAACAAGTCTTATATATTTGTATCAGCTAACTTACCGAAGAAAACAATATTCCAATAACTTCTAGCATATTTGGGATAAGTGGCAATTTGTCAATAGCCTGTTCATATCAAAGGAAGAGGGGTTGATGGGATTGAAGCCATTAGAAGTAATCTTTGAGCTCAAAACTATTAATAAGAAAGATGAACTCCAATCGTCAAAATTAAGAAACACAGCTTGAAACTCCGAAGCAATCCTATTACCGAAATCAAATTTGTTGATGTCCACAGGGCTACTATTGCTGCAAAACCCAGACCAATGAGACCTACCCTATCTTCATCAGATTTATCCCACTGTTCCAAAGAAAGTAAAGCAATGTCAGAAAAATAAAAAGGTTAATGACTATATGAAAACTGCTGCCTAAGGCAAGAGTCAAGGATAAACACATGAAAAAAATTGAGTAAAAAGACTAGGTTTCCTATTCTCTCAATCTAAAACAATCATGCATCCAATGAAACTGAGCCAAGCATCCCTTGTTGTATGGAAACCACAGAAAGAAGAAAGAATTGGAAAATACAGAAGGGAAAAAAAGGTCAGATAAAATTTAAGCATACAAATTCTGCTATTTCTTGAACAAATCCCTCCCCCCCACCTCCTCTGGTCCTCATATATGTTTTAAGCATAAAGGGAGTGCAATGATGACGATTATGTGTGTTTGTGTGTGTAAGAGAGAGAGAGAGAGAGAGAGAGAGAGAGAGAGAAACTTACAATATTTTGCACTGACTTGACAATACTAAGTGAGGTTGAAGACTCTGAGCTATCACTTGTGGCCTTCACTATAACGGCACAGTTTTGTCTCTCTGCAATGCAAGAAAATCAGGAAACATAGGGAAAGAGTAAATCACCCAAAGGATGGAATATAGCAACTAATAGAACCTGATTGCCAAACAAGGTTTCCAACAACATCAGAGAAAAATGAAAAAAAAAAAAAAATCCATAGGCCCCAAGAATTAAGTCTTAATTAGACACCCAATTTAATTTCAAGTAATTGCTTTGTACCTACACTAGATGAGTAGATTCCTAGAACTACCATGAGATTAACATAGCTGAATCCCATTGAGGGCATGGTTCCAGGATAATCAACAAACAACAATGCCAGATTCTTAAAGTCTTTAGCTGGCACGTTGAGGACAATTAACTCAGAATTAAATACTGAGAATTTCTGTCATGCCCTCGGTTAGATTGTTCCTTCCAACACCACCAATTGCCACATGAATATTTCATTTCCATCTCATAACTTTAGTCTAAAACAACCACATCCACACTGATATTCAATCAGGAACATTCTGTTACCAAACTGTCTCACACACACACACACACACACATATAATATGCCACTGTTGTAGCAAAAGTCCCCGATTAATTTCCCCAAAATTTTATATCAACCATCTAAACCAAATCTTCCTGAGATTAGACACCCTTTCTAAACTACTTGTTGCACCATTTTTCCACTTGAGTATTCCGTGCTGGATATCTAAGTCTAGTTTTCAGTGGAGAAAGTTTCTTCCTTTAACTTTAAGACCTTTGGTTCAAAAGCTACAGAAGCCATAAAAATCTATATGAAACTAAGTGCATATCTATCTAATAAAAACCTATAACTAACATAAAAAGTGAAAATTGATGAAAATAGAGGCTCAAATTCAACTATGGAAGTCTAAAACAGACAGTTGCTTTAGGATAAACAAAAGCATATGCCATACCTCCAGTAGAAGAAACTGGGAGTTTCTGAAGGGTCCTGAAAGGGGTCTTTCTACCTTGTAAAAACAATGGTGGAGGCAAACTTGTAGTAATGGAAGCCATGAATACCTGCTAAAAAGCACAAAAAGAAGGACAAAAAAAGCAATTCTAAAAAGTGGGCTGCTTTCGTTGTAGTCCAAAAGGGATTAGATTTACTATGAAAAAGAACAAAGATTTTGATATAAAGAAGAAACTGAGTTTAAGGTTTTTACCTGAGTTGCAGCTACAATAGAAACTGAGAAAGATAAAAAAGGAGTTTTTTTTCTTTTTTTTTGAGTGAGCCAGCGCCACAAAAAAAGCAGTACTGCCTCACCTCATCAAAGGAGGTGAAATCAAGTGTGGGTAGGTCTAGCATTAGCAGTAAGGTTTCAGGCTCATATTCTTTGCCGGTGGGAATGTAAACTTGATTTCAAATTCAACGGTTTTAGGGAATTACCCTTAGATGCCTCCTTTGATTTATAATTTTATTTATTCCTTTAATTATTAAAAATTAAAATCTATTATTTATCTAAGATTAGTTCTGTTAATAAGAAGAAAAATTACTCTTTTAATAGTAAAATCAAAATTTTAGTTTTATGAAAATATTTCATGAGTGAAATTCAAACAAAATCTAATATAAATTTGTCTGTATATTAAAATAATAAACAGTAAGACTAAAAAAAAAAGAAAACAATTAAATAAAGCTTAAATAATTTCATGAAAAATAATTTTTAAAAATAATTTTTATATTTTCAAGTATTTGTTACGCAAATCACAAAAAATTATCTGATTAATGAAAAATAATTTACTAATTAATGAAAAATAATATTATTTTTTTAAAACTATCTTACCCTTGTGAAAAAAAAAAGATAATTTTTAAAAAAATTATTTATGAGTAAAATTATTTATCAATATATTTGAGTATAATTTTATTCAATCAAATCTTGTACATGATTTTTTTAAGTTTAAACTTAATTTGACCTTGGCCAAAATATTATTAAATTAATAAATAATATTTTTATTTAATTTTACTTAAAAATTTAAAATATTAATATTAAAAATATTTTAATATTTTAATTTTAAATATTTTATAATTTTACTCAAGTAAAACTTTGAATATAATATTTTAAGCACGAATTTAATTTGATTTGATTTAAAATATTATTATATTAATAAAAATATTTTATTTAATTTAAATTAAAAAATGAAAATATTAAAATTAAAAGTTTTTTGATATTTCAATTTAAAATATTTTTATTTTGTATATTATTAAACATAAATATTTTTAATATTTCAATAATAAATAGTATTATATTATTATTTTAATAATAAGTAATAACATATATAATAGTATTTTTATTATTTTAATAATCAATTTAAATAATATAATAATATTATTTCTTAATATGATATTTTTAATAATTTCTTATTATTTTTAGTTTAAAATATATAATTTATTTTTATTTATTAAGGCCTTTATGATACTATTTTAAAAATAAATATAAATAAAAAAGATTTCTATTATGATTTAATAATAGATACTTTTAATATAAAATATAAATATTTAAATAGTTTAAATATTTTAACAATAAATATTACTATTTTAATATTAATAAAAATAATATTTTAAGAATAACAATACTATTTTAAATATTTTAAAATATTAATATAAAAATAACAAATAGTTTTATTTTAAGTATTTTATACTAATATAATATTTTAATATTAAATAGTATTATTAAAATATAATTATTTTTAAATATTAATAGTTTTAATGATAATAATTTTAATATATTTTAATAATAAATAAATTTTAATAGTTTAATAGTTATATTAATATTATTTGAAAAAAAATAGATTTTTCAAAAAATAATCAAATAAATAAAAAATATTTTTCATTAACTCGTTCAAGCAACAAAAAATTTTATATTTTCAGAAAATATAAGGTAGTGTTTGGTTTATGAAAACAAGGTTATTTTTTTTATTTTCACAAAAAAAAAAAGACTAACAATCTTATTTGATTAAAAAATAGAAAATATTTCTAAAAAATGAAATAAAAACAGGCAAAATTTTGAGGGAAAAAAAAAAGAAGTAGATGTTTTCAATATTTACAAAGAAACATAGTGGGGGGAGATGGAAAATGGAAAAGCACGGAAATTTTATAAAGTTTCGAATTTTATGTTTTTATAACCCAGAGACACAAGTTTCAAATCTGTAAAAAGGCAAAACAAGTTTTTTAAGTTTTAGATAAAACCCCAAACTCTTTCCGTCTGCTAGTTCTTCTTGTCTTTTCTTTTTTTTTTTTTTTCCTTTAGTAACTGTTCCCTCAAACCCCATACTCTTTCTTTCTCTTATTTATTTCTTCTGAGTTTTTTTTTTTTTTTTATCATTTCCTTATTTTCTAATTTACAACGCCATCTGTAGATCTATGCTCCGTTAATTTAAAAAATGGATTCCTATGAAAAAGAGGGGCTCGTTGAAAAATTTGGATCTAGTTAATTCCAGCGGCCTTGCAGATCTGCAAGAAAAGCAATCTTTTCTGTGTCTTCCTTGGGCCCATTCAGGAGCTCCAAATGTTATATTCCCAGCTCAATCCAACTTTCATCTCTAGCATAATTCTTGTCTATGGCATCAACCTTGGCGTCTCTGTCTCTTTCTTCGAAGTAGGCTCAGACCACTATTGCAAAGATGTTTAGAAAGTCCAGCACTCAGTGGTTCAACTATACATAGGCCAACATTATATTTCTTGGATTATGAAACTTGTTTAGGTTTATGCATTGATTTTTTTTTTCAATTAAAAGGCTACAGAAGAATACTAGAAGACCATATTTTGCGGATGAAGATGTTTATGCATTGATGTTTTTTCAATAAAGGCTCCGCATATGCACAGCCTTTTGTGTATTTATAAATTACGTTTTTTTTTTTAATTTTAATATGCATTTTGCTTTAATTATTTAATTTTTATCTTTTTATTTTTTTGTTTTAAAAATGCATATGCTAAACATATTTCTATAATTTTCATTTTTCAAAACGACTTTTACCAAACATATTTTCCAAAATTCAAAAAAATAAAAAATGAAAATTGTTTTTAAAAAATAAAAATAAAAAAATATTTTGTATTACCAATCATAGCCTAACATTTTTCGAAAAACCATTTTTTGAAAATTAATTTCAACGAAACAAATGAAACCTTAATCTCACTTCAAATGTTATCACTAACAATTAGAGTACGAATAATAAGGAGTCTATCCCAAAATTGATTTCTTATTTTATTATAAGTTACAGTCTGGAGTGAATCTGAGATAGGTAAGTAAAAGCGAAAAAACAATCAGGAGAAGCCGATGGTTGGTCTGACATTGGCTCTCGATATTCTAGTCAATACGTGAAAGAAGTAAGCAGAAAGCAAAAGTTAAGAAAAATGGTGGTGAAATGAGAGTGGCAGAGTTATTTTGGGAGAGTGAGATAGAAATGTGACATGGTACAATAAGATTGACCGGCTTGATGCATGTATTATGTTCTTTGAAATGCATAGATGACATGTATCCATAATTAATTATATGAGGTGAGACAACCAGCAGATCACCTCTAACCTTGTCAATACATGTTTAGAGTGGTGCTGTACTTACTCGTTTATCTCTTTTGGCCGAGATGAAAAGATTAAATTACCCTTAAGTCCAAAACATCCACCATAGATTACTGAGGTGAATTTTGTGAATAACGTAAGTTGCCATGGTGGCAACGGTTCAGCAAGAAATGTCCTTCTATGCCTAGTCAAAATTGCTATGCTTACATCGGCTAAGCCTATCCAAGTTTTCGTTTGTTGGCTAACATTTTTACCGTGTGGCATTAGTTGCTAAATTCTATTCTTCTCCGTTTAGGTATAAATTCACTTTGGCATAAAATTTGTCTGACGCAAAATTTTTGCCAATAAGATTAATATTACGAATAATTATTAAATTATAATAAACTATTCAATCAAATATTTAAACTTAAGAAATTTTTAATATAATATTTAAATTATAATTTTATTAATTAATATGATATTTAAAAAATTATTTATTCGTCAAATGTAATCATTTAAAATTAATCACAAAAATAAATATCACATTAATTAATTGATTCATAATTTAAGTATCATATTAAAAAAAATTTAAATTAAAATATTACATTAAATATTTTACTATAATTTAAAATTTTACATAATATGTTCCTAAACCTTTAGTTTAATGGCTAAAAGCATTCCAAGAAACATCAAAGATTTGATTTTGAACTAAATCTCCTCTCTTCCCCTTATTTATTCCAAGATTTTGTCCTCTTAATGTAACAAAAAAAAATTTACATGATATTAATCCAGTATGCTTGTTCTGGGCATTATTCTTAGCAAAATCACCACCATGAAGCATAACTATGAAAGTACTGTTGTTAGCTGGCATAATCAGACAAGACTGTTTAACTATCCGGCTGCCACTGACCTTTTAACAAATTGTCAAACATCTTTGCATTGCTGCTTAAGTCTTTTAACACCAAATTTCACAAATTGTCAAACATCTTTGCGTTACTGCTTAAATCTAGGACCCAATCCTCAGACCAAAACAAAAACAGAACAATTCATTGCAGCTTAACTTCATGATCATTTCAATCCTTTAAGTAAATCTATAAAATTCTAAGGAATTCATTCCCAAAGCAAGCACACAGTAAAGTACTATCATACAATTATGTTCTTTTCAATTTAATCATTTTCCTCACTTTCAATTCCACTTCTCAGAACCCAATCCCATTTAATTACTAAAACATCAACTTCTTTGCTAAGTAACAAAAGAAACCCAATTCAAATAAACCCATCAAAATTCGAGCAGAGAACACTAAGACCATGACTAACACAATAAACAATCCGTATCCATAAAAACAACAATTATTACATTAAGAAAAGAAGTTTCTGAAACACTAAAAGAATTTGCAAAAGATTACTTCTTTACCGAAATAGAAAGGACCCCACCCCAAGGGCTTAATACTAAGCCAACTGCTTTTGAGGCTGTTTAGACTCCAATGGAATCCCAAGCTCCCCCGTCTCCTCCTTCTCCTACTTCCCATTCTTACTTGGTACAGGCACAGCAACGAAACTCTTGGTCTTGCTAATAGGTCTGCTCCTTTCAAGCTGCACAAAGTCACCAACTTTGAATTGGCTGTTTAGGTCATGAGCCTGGAGCGTCTACTTCTTCCTGACACGCCTCTTGTACTTAGGACACCACTTCCACGGACACTGTCTTGTCATTTGTAGCACAAACAACTTTGCCTTGCATGGATTTAATTGCCCTGATTGAAGGGAGAAAAGTTGGGTTTTTGGGGGGTTGGCGAGACAGAGAAGAATTGGGTTTTGAGAGACGAGAGAGGGAAGTTGAGCCATGGAGAAATGGGGATGAAAACTTGAGAGATTGCAGAGAGGAAGTTATTGACATTTCGGGGTAGAGTCTTTGGAGTCGAAGAAGGGGATAAGGGGGATACCGGGAGGTTGTCTTTGTTCTTTATCTGCGTGATTGCGCATTTGGGGTTGGGTGCCCGCAATGAATTTTAACAGGTATATTCTCCTTAATTTAAAAAAACAAAATTTTATTTAGCAAGAAAAGCTTTTTGAGTTTTAGTCATCGATCGGTGCAAACAAGCTTACCAAATTCAAATTTTCATGGGAAATTTAAAAAAAAGCTTCTTTTAACTTATACATATAGATTTATGAATGTTCATTTTGATCATCTAAATAACATTTCTGCCATTATTATGAATGTTCATCGATGGATAATATTAACTATATGAATGGCTGGTGAAAATTTGCTAGACATTCAAAAAAGATATAGAGTATATTTCAAATTGTACCAATTGAAACCAAATACTTTGAGGCACTGAACATGGCCCATTTGTTTTTTTGTGAAGATCATAAAATGCATAGGTTTATCTAGTTCCGAACCTTTGTTTTAGTGATTAAAAACATTTAAAGATTATTTGGAATCATTTTTTTTTTTTATACTAGAGTTTTGTTCAGATGTTTAAAAAAAAAAAAAGGCTTATCTAGGTTCGATCCACGTGGCACCACCTAAATGGGACTCCATATCTCTGTCAAGAAAACCCAGTTTACCAGCTGTCCACTCCAGATCCATGCAGAATATCAAAAACCCGAAGATCCCACTGCCAACTGAACTAAACCTGCAAGAAAAATAGTCACGAACCAAAACCAAGGCCATGGCTTCTCTTGCAACTTTAGCTGCTGTTCAACCTACGACCATCAAGGGCCTCGGTGGCAGCTCCCTTAGTGGAACCAAGCTCTTTGTCAAGCCACCTTGCCAGAGTTTCAAACCCAAAAACTACAGGTACTCACGTTCTGTCGCCTGGAAATCCTAATGTTTAATTTCAGCCCATTTATTTAGATTTTTTTTTTAAACTCAGGTATTTGACTATGATGTGGCTAATCATTTTAGTTCTTTTCTTGTATTTTTGGGCTTAGGGTTCGTACAGTGGTAGCTAGGGGTGTAAATGATACATTAGTACTCGCAAGCTACTCGGGTTCGATTCGAAAAAAACTCGAATTCGGTTCGATTATTGTCGAGTCGAGCTCGAGCTCGAGTAGCTCGACTTATCGATCGAGCCGAATTCGAGTATTCTTATATCTGACTCGAGTAGCTCGCGAGCCTAATCGAGCTTTTATATTTAAATATATTTTTATTTTTTTTAATTAAAAAAATATTTCGAATCCGAGTTCGAGTTCGAGTTCGAGCATGAATAATCGAACTCTTGTCGAGTATACAAATCGAGCTTATTTTTACATATTAATCGAGCTTAATCGAGCGAGCTCGAGTAGCTCGAATTCGATCACGAATCGAGCTCGAGCTTGAAAAATAAAACTCGATCGAGCGGGTAGCAAAGTATGGTGATAAGAGTGTGTACTTTGATTTGGAGGATTTGGGCAACACAACTGGGCAATGGGACTTGTATGGATCTGATGCACCTTCACCGTACAACTCTCTCCAGGTTTGACCCTTAATTCTCATTTTGATGAAGATGGTAATTGGGAAGGATTTATGGAGTACTTTTACAAAAGTCCATTCAGTTCTAAAATTTGGTTGCTGTCTGCCTTTCTATATATATATATATATATATATATATATATATATATATATCTGATTCATGTTATTTTCCTTTGTTTTTGAGAGAAACATATAGCTTCTTGAGCCAAAAATATTAAGGTAAAGATTATATTTGCAATGGAATTGTGATGTTGATTGAAACCTGCTGCTGCTTTCATTGAGAGACGAACTCAAGACCTCCCGCCCTAATCAACTGAGCTATGAAATTAAGCTTTGACTTGAAGGTTGCAAGAAGTAATAACAATACTTACATAGTAAAATTGGGGAGGCTGTCATTTTCATTCGTAATAACAATCCTCTCTTGGGTACACTCCATTCGTATATTTATGGATCAAGAAAGTGACATTATTCAGGATTGTGGTCATTCCTGTTATTTCATAACATATAGAGGTTTCAACTTTAGATAAACTGTAGTTTAATTATCAACATTCTGTCTCAAACATATCATATTTTTCATTTGAGAACATGGGAAGAAGTCAGGCATACAGCTAGCCATGTTTTGGCCAGTCATTGGTCAAGAATGATTTAATTAAGTCCTGTCAAATTCACCTTACTTATTTGAAATTAAATTGTTTTTTAACCCTTAATTATTTGCAAAAATTCCTGATATGCAAGTACTAACATTATGCACAAACGTTTGGAATGGCAGAGCAAGTTCTTTGAGACAGCTGCAGCTCCATTCACCAAGTGAGGATTGTTGCTCAAGTTCCTGATCTTGGGAGGTGGTTCCCTCCTTGTTTACCTCAGTGCCACCACTTCCGATGATCTTCTACCAATTAAGAAGGGTCCGCGACTTCCACCAAAGCCAGGGCCGCGAGGCAAAGATCTAATTTAGTGGAACTCTTGAGCTTTTCATTGTATGTATATCTTCTTTTAGTTTTGAAACATGTAATCCTAAAAAATGACCTTTTTTATCAATCCAAAGATAATTGTTTCATGCTTAATTGGTGCATTGCTTTCAGTTTTAAATCTGTGGTCATTGATAATGAGCCTTTCATTTCTGATTACATATAAGTTTTGCCATTCAAGAATTAATAATATGTCCATTGCCACTGTTAAGAAAATCCAACTTTTTCTGGTACGAAGGCTGCTCAGCGTTGCTTTCATCTACCCTTTGCTTTTCTTCAGCAGGGGAGTTATATAATTAACAAAAAGCCTTATTCTCACCAACATATGCATGGTTTGTTGGTAAAATACTGGACTATTAGTTCCGGTGATCATGGTTCAAATCCTGATAACTTCAAATATAAAATAAAAAAAAATGCCTGATTCTCTGATCACTGAATTCTTGTATTAATATCAGAAGTAGATCTACTGCCAAGTAATCGATCCATTGTCTGAAAATCTAGGAATACAGCCCAGATGTACAAATTCACAATCAATGGGGATAAATAAATATGGGCGTAATAGCATTTAATAAACATGAATTCTTTTTAATTCTGATGTAAAAATCATTAAAAAAAATCATATTTCAGTGGCTACCAAACTACAAATCCTTCTCTTGGTTTTCAAAGAAAGCATATATGGAATGCTGTAAACTCTATAGTTTTAGTTTTCTTCTATATTTACAAAAGGGACGAAACGAAATACAGAATGTACCAAACAGCCCCACAAGTCAAGAGTAATCCCATCTAGGTTGACAAATTATATGTGAAGGTCAAGCTTTCTCGCACTCCATATTCCTTTGTCTATCACAGTTTCTCTATCTCTCAATCTCTCCAACTGCTTCCAGTTTTTCCATTCTTTTCCCTCAATCTTCTCCTCCATTAATGGCGTGCAGTTGGGCTTCTTAATACACCCAAGCCCTCAAGATAAGAAACCTTCTTGTTAGTCACTATGCTTAGTTTTTGCATGTGCTTTTCATCACCCTCTTTGGATAAGTCAGGTGTCGAGTCTTCCTTTTCCTCAGAGTCATTTTGATCCAAACTCCAAGCAAGTAAATCTGAGAGGGTCATAGAATTTGTTATCTCTACCTCATATCTTGGGCTTGGAGGCACCGAAGTAGGCTGACTGTCATCCTTTAAAGGGCTCCATTTGCATGATGCTTGACTCGGATTTTGGACAGCGAAGTCAGCATGGAGGATCTCTTCAATTCCGGACAAGACCGTAAAGGCCAGGCTTTCAAGTATTCTTGAATAGCTCTCTAGGACAGCCTGCCCTACATCCTGTGATGCCAACAAGAAATCCTTCAATAAGTTTCCAAGCCTTTTTCTTTTTACACGAGTCTGCTACAATTTTAACACAAATTATTAGATCTAAGAGTCCAATACTTTACCAACAGACCGCACGACTGTTATAGTTTTCAAGCTCACAAAATATTTGGTTACATTAAGAGGAAAGCTTCAGCTACAATTGATAACCATGCATGCAATGCCTAACAAAGAGGATCATCCCAATGTTTTATAAAATTTATATATACCAGCAGAACTACTTACCCGGCTGTATTGAATTTTGCTTATGTCTAGTGAAGATTGAGGAAGTCCTGGGAACCCATGTTTGATAATGTGTAAGATGGTCTTAGCTCTCTCCTCAAAGAGTTCTCTCTTCTCGAAGCTAACAGCAGAACTCCAAGCTGATTTTCCGTCCTTTTGGTTCATCTTTCTCTTCTATATTACTGTAGATGCCTCCACTCTGTTCTTAAGGTCTAAAATCTTGTGCTCTGATGATAAGTCCATAGTGGAGAGAAATTGATCAGGATCAAAGAATTCAACTGTGATACTCCTATAGATTGAATCACCAAGGCTAGCTTTTCCATTCTAACAAAGCATCAATACAAATAAATGTGAGGATGGGATCATGAAAGTAGATTTTCTGCAGCATTTATATGTCGAGAATTTTCCTTCTTTACCTTTGGGAGTGATTCAATGAAGTTTTCGGGGATCTCCATCTCTGACAGAACTTGGGCATTAATAGACATTGCTGCTTTAAGCACTTGAGTCACACATTCCTTTTGGATCTGCATATTTTTTCTTGACTCATCAGACAGACCATCTCCGGGAACTTTAAAAGTAGGCAGCCACCATTTGTCATCTTTTCTCTTTTTGTTCCCTTTTTCTGAGTCTGGGGCATCTCTTGACAAATAATAGAATTCGTTTTGGTCCTTGATGGTATCTAGACAATCCTGACCATTGTAAGTTATCATTAAATGAGGCACTAGTTTGTAGCTTAATCACTATGACTGCAAAAATCGAAGCTCAAATGAACTAAAAGCATATATTAATCCATGTCCTTACAATAAGCATTGCATCAAGTTTCCGCAGGGCAGGAATGTTCTTATGAAGATCTATTCGTTGCTTTGTGACCATTATCTGAAAATCCAAGAATAAAGATTCTAAGTTATACTTGGTCCCTGGAGAAAATGTAACTATACATATCGATATAGCCATATAATTTGCTCAGATGAAGTCTGAGGGAGGGGAGGAGAGATAGATACCTCCATGTTTGCTCCATCCTTGTTTTTCTGTTGAGAGGGAACTAATTCAACAATGTGATCAGTTACAGAAAAGAGCCAATCTATTTCTTTTCTCCACCTTCCTTTCCTTTCAGCTGACATAGGCGTTAAGCGCGATTGTTCACCAAATACAGAAGCTGAAAGCCATTGAAGAATCAAAACCAAAATATTGTTACTTTCTATTGATTAGACAAAAGCCATTCTGAATCCAGTATATTATATGGCAGAGAGAAAAACCAGGAAAGAAGAAAATACCAGCAAGGTTTGTAATGGCGTTTGATAGTGCTAAAGCTGATGAAACTCCCTTCCCTCCACCTGACATATCCTTACCTAAGAGTAATTTGGCAAATCTTTCCTTCATCTGCTCCATATCTGAATCAAAATCAAGGCAGAATTTTTATAACCTGCAGTCAATAATAACAAGCCACAGTTCTCTTTTTTGTTTTATAATATAAAAAACAACCAAAATTTCCAACACTAGGAAATTGTTTCAGTTGGGATGTGTTTTCTATACCACAATCAATCTGCAACATATCATGCTTTTTATTTTCTTTTCAATCATATCAAAATTTGAAAGATTATTGATGACCAAGATAGCTTCTAAAATCTATCATCTATATTTCTCCCAACATTACAGGGAATTAAATCTATTTCTAGTCTAAAGAAGTATATATTAAACTTGCCATTTAACAGCTGCTTTTCTCTGGCTTGGTAGGCAGCAGCCATTTCCTCCTTGCTCAGCCTTGACTTGAGACCCTTGTCGTTTCTGGTCAATGCTGGTAGATCATTTTGGAAGTCTTGATCCCGGAGTTCTAAATGTTACCCCTTCATCCAAAGCTGCCTCTTCTAATCTACTAGCACTCTCAATGCTCAAACTCTTTGCATGTCTTCCTGTGTTCTCATGCATACCCCTGAAATGAAACAACCTAGACCTATAACTATCTTGTTCTTGTTCAAGTGCATGAACCATGTTTAATTATTTTCAAAAAGGACTTCTGGCAAGGAATCAAACAAAAACAAAGAACAATTACCCAAAGGGTGGAGAGAATGATGCTGTTGTTTGTCTTTGTTGTACGAGAGAGGTATGGAAGAGGGAAAGGAGGGAAAAAAAAAAAAAGGGAGTTCCCTCTTTCAATTGATTCTAGAGAGATGTGTGTGTTATTGGGGATTTTAGTGAGTTCGACAAAACTGTGTGTGGGGGTTGATAGTTGTGTTGCATTTTCCATTTTTGAGTGATAGTCGAACGTGGGGTGCATGTTTTCAGAAATGAGCTGTTAGTCAAGGAGAATAATCAAATAAACAAATTTATTAGATTATTCTGTATGTTGAAGGGTCTAGTTTCATTTCATTTGTAAAAGGTGTAACAACTGGATGGTTCATCTTCAATTTAAAAGTCAAGTCCTACTGAAAACCAGGGAAATAGAACAGAATGAAACATGCAAACTATCATATCATGTTTTAAATTATTTTAAATTATCAAGTCTGCTTCTACAACAAGTCAGGCTGGTTAGGACTTGATGTATGACCCTGACTCGCAGTTGCCTCCTTAATCGTTTCTAAAAGAAAAAAAAAGAATCTGACTGATCATCCAGGACTTGTCTTGTAAGGTCCCAAATCACATTACGAAATCAGAGCTTTTCGCTGGTTGTTAAAATTTTGAATCTTCTGTTAATTATATTTCAAGAAACTAAATAAATACCAGTACTAAATTAAAAGAGAACCAATTAAAGTTTAGAATTATCATTTTGTTCTCAATGCTAGGCAAGTGTTAAAAACGAATTATGCAAAATAATGACAGGCTTGATTACATAAGGTTAAAAGACCCTGTGAAACAGCACTGCAATGTTTAGTCGCCAATGAGGGTTGATTGAGTTGATAAGATTTTAATATTTTGCTTGTAAGATCTAAATTAGAGTCTCACTGTCAAAATGAATTATCTTGTAAATCCAATGTATATTGTTACTCTGACTTCGAATTGAAATAATCTTTCATCACTAAATTTTTATAGACCATAAAAATTTATTGCCTCAAATCTCAATATATCTTTCTTTGACCAATAAATAAAAATAGTCGCGACCAACGAACAGGTTGATCCAGGTTGATCCAGCTTTGATCTTATGGTCTTATCTAAAAACTCAGATGAAAATCAATTTTCCTGCTGTCTGTCACAAACCTCTGGGGGATTTTTCTTTTTAGCAAAATTCAATTGCTGTATTTAAAAACCAAGGTTTCATAATAGAAAAATTTTGCAACCGATCAAAACCTAGTATTACGATTGCTATGTTTCTGTCAGGTTCTACTGTGGTTTAATTGAATAAGGATGAGTTTGAAGTTTGTGAAACTGAAAGCTGGTTTGCATAGAGTTACTCTTAATTTGTAAGCTATTAAGTTGTTCACATATAGGATCATAGGGATACTTATAATGCATCAATTCATGATATAGTAGAGGATAAGCTTCATATATATAGCTTATGTCAAAATGAAATAATCAGCATCTTTGTAGGAAGTTCATTTGAAATTCTCTGATGTGATTTTTATATGATGGATGTTATTTCTGCAGTCATGTCTTTCATCTTTTTTATTTCTTATTTTCCATTGCTATAATTTGTAGTCTTAAACAAACAAATAACCATATTTCATGTTTTCCCCGCCATTTATTAAATAATTTATTTGCAGTGTGGGGTAAGCACTAACCTGGTAGATAATTCATAGCTGGTAGTGTTGAGTCTAGAACTTGATTTATCTTTTTTCACTGCTTTTGATAGATCATGGATCATATCCTAATGACCAGAATATGTAGGACAAAGATGTTGTATAGAGTTCACTCACCTTTGTTACAAAGGGAAGATAAATACAACAAATGATGGACCACGGAATCTTCAAAGTGCCAACATCATTAAACAGTACGATTGAAATTTCTTTGTTCGCAACCAACATTTATAGCGCTGCCTAGCCCATTGGTTTGCCTGTCAATTTCATTGGCAATAGCTGCCACCGGAAGTTTTTTCAGTAACTTCTTCTCACGTAGCAAAACATAGTTCTTTTCGTACAAATATCAGGATAAATCTTATTGCTGATATTATTGCAGCAAAGGTGTAGAATTGAGCATGTTATATCACTGGGATGCTTAAACTTTCTTCCCTTGAATTTAAGTCTGGACTTTCCCTAGCTTTGATTTAGATCTTTTTCCACATCTTTGTTTTTTCCTTTTATTTACTATTGTTTGACTCTTCCAATTCAGTGGTAGATCAATTGGAATTATTGAGTTATGCAGGATTGGATCAGCAATAGTGAAAGAGTTGAAGCTTTCTACTGCCCTATCAGTTATCACTCCAGATATAGGAAACCAGAAACAAATTACAAATACTACCCAAACGTCGTTGACTTGGCTGCCAAAGTGCCAATTGTTAAATCCCTAATGTGGCCTGCGCTTTGAACGAGGAAACTGAGCTTGTATCTGGATTACTTTAAGGCCGGTCAGGTGGAGCATGACTTGATATTTGAAAACGAGCCTAAGCTACCCCAGCAACCGTTAGCACTAGAGAATGTTGTCCTAGTGCCCCAGGTGGATAGTGACACACAGGAAAAGAGCAAGGTAATGGCTGATCTTGTGATAAGCAACTTCGAGGTGCAGTTTATTGTTGCCAAGCAGCATCCGATATCATCCTACATCTTAATTACATTCTTACTAGCAATCTAGTACACTAATTGTGTAATTCCAATCTGGTCTAAAAGCCAAGAAGAATCTTGCTATTTGGATAATCCAGATTCTCATCTTAACCATGAAATCAATTATTCTTGAGAAGCAATTTATTCTACATTTTATCTTGCCATACAGTGAGGATATCAATCAATAGCCTAGGGATAACATAAAGGACGAGGATATTTAAAAAGAGCGTGGAGAGTGGAGACACCAACAAGGAAAACTAGTCTATCATATGCTGCTACATATCATCATTTCATTTCATTTCACTTATACAAAATAACGGAGGACACATTTAATTGGCTCCATCAGATTTCAGAGCATTACAAAAAAGGCTGTATTAAACCACACAGGGAAAATGCAAAAGACCCATGAGCCACTTGTGAGTTGTTATCTGTTTCACCCTTTTTCCTCCACTCTAACCGACATACAATTTTGATACAAAGGAAAAAAGAAACAGAAAAAAGAATCTTCACTGCACTTTTTACCCCTCGGATTTTCTTCCTTATTCAGCTTTTGCCTGTACAAGACTACAACCAAACATGAAACATCGCCTTGGTATCAAGGACAGGTGGAAGATGAAGCCCCTTTGAAGATAAGGAACATGAGTCTCTCCAATGAAAAGTAGATGAAAGTCCCTTTAGAATGAGTGAAGAAACACCCAAAATTTGAACCCACCACACATTGCCATCCATTCCCATATTCGCTGTCAAACTCCTGCCAAAAAGAACTACTTGTTAACTAATAAACAGAAGTCTTCAGCTAGAAATAAAAAGGCATAGAATCTTTAAATCAAATGAGAAAAATAAAAGCATATGAACCTAAACCAGAGGAACGAAAAAGGAGAAAAGGGCACTCTTTTTTATGTTAGTTTAGTGTGAGGGGAGAAAAAAATGAACCTTTTTGATATAACCAGCAATGGATTTGCAGTCAAACACATCATAGAGATCCAGAGCTTGAGAAGCAGAAGCCATAGCTAGGATCCGCATCTTCAAAGGCATGTCCGTGTCTTCCACCAAAGCTTTTCCTTCTAACATGCTTCCTTTCTTTTCTTTCTTACAAATCTCTCTATTTCTCTCTTTCTCAGTCTCGCAAAAACAAAAAAAAAGAAAAAACCTGAGTTTGGGATTTTATGTCTGAATATCTGGTTCTTATCTTTAAGACCCAGAAAAGATTGGATCAATTCTCTCTCCTTCCCAGGCTACATACCAAAAAAAGAGGGAGAAACGCAGCCAGGCTTCTCTCTCTTGTTTTTTCAAAAGTGAAGGACTAGGCCAGGTAGTCTTTTCTTTTAACCTTATTCAGTCGCTATTCATTCATTGTTGATAAAATAAGTAAAAACGATTATTTTGTGATTTCTCTCTCTTACTTCTGTCATGGTCATTGTCCGTTGGGATAACGACGGCGGCGGCGGCTGTTAGAGTACGGTACTTCGCGTTCTGATATCTGATTAGTTTTGGACATGTACATAACATCCGTATAGTTTCTATTTTTAAAAATTTATCTTAATAAATAATTTTTTATAATAATATAATAATAATAATAATAATAATATAATTTTAATTTTGATATAATATAAACAAAATTTGATAATTTTTTATATAATGTTAATTTTGATAATTTTTAATAAATTTTTATATATTTTGATACCTTTTCGATATTAATTTGATAACTTATTTTAGTAATTATTGATAAAATTTTAATAATTTTTAATATAATTTTAATAATTAACTTTTTAAAAATTTATAATTTTTTTTTAATAATCATTGATAAAATTTATGTCATTATATATTTAATAAAAGATTTTTGTAAAAATATACAGATTTAATTTAATAATTTTTTATAAAATTTTAATAATTAACCTTTAAAAAATTTATGATGTTTTTTTAATAATCATTGATAAAATTTATGTCATTATATATTTAATAAAAGATTCTCGTAAAAATGTACAGATTTAATTTTTGTATAAAATAATTTTTTTATAAATAATATTATTTTTTTATTCAAATTTAAAAATTTTTAACTAAATTTTTTATTGAATATGTTCTTAGTAGATTTATCCTAATCTGTCAAGATAAAATTTCTAATTTCGTTTCTGCTAATAATCAAAGTTCAATTTATGACAACTTTAAATATAAAAAAAGATTGATCAATTATTGATAATTAAGTTATTATTGATTTACTATTATGTTATTAACGATTTATTACTAAGTTATCAATGATATATTACTAAATTATCAATAATTTACTATTAAATTAACATTGATTTACTACTAATTTATAAATGATTTACTACTAAATTATAAATAATTTATTTCTAAATTGTTGATAATTACTATTAAGTTATTGATTATTTGTTATAAAATTATAATTGATTTACCATTAATTTATCAATGATTTATTACAAAATTATCAATAATTAACTAATTTACTACAAATTATCACTAAATTGTAATTAAATTATTAGTGATTTACTACTAAATTATTAATAATTTACATCTAAATTATTAATAATTTATTATTACATTATCATTGATTTATTATTTACTTTTCCATTATCACAAATTTATTACTAAAGTAATCATGATTTATTATCAAGTTATCATTAATTTATATTAAATTATCCATAATTTACTGTTAAGTTATTTAACTATTATTAAGTTATGTTGATTTACTTTTAAATTTCTAATGATTAACTACTAAATTATCATTCATTTTACTACTAAATTATTTATAATTTACTACTAAATTTATTAATTAATTATTGCTAAACTAAAACTGATTTATTATTAAGTTATCACTAATTTACTATTAAATTATCAATTATTGATTATAAAGTTATCTCTTGTTATTTATTAACCTATCATTGATTTACTAACATGTTGTTATTCATTTACATCTATGAAACATGAAATTTAAAAAGTCTAATAATAATATATGAGACAAATTTTTTTTTATATGATAACATTATTATTTTATTCAAATTTAAAATTTTTTGATTGATTTTTTTATTGAATACGTTCATAACATTCAAAATTTTCAATAATTTTTATTTAAGTTTTATTCAAATTCATAGGTTTATCATAGCCTTCAAAATTAAAATATTGACTTCATTTATGTTAGTAATAAAGATTCAATCTTTGACAACTTCAAATATAAAAAAGTTATTAATAATTGACAATTACACTATAAGTTATTTATTATTAAGTTATAAATGATTTATTATTAAATTATCAATAATTTATTTCTAATTTATTAATGATTTACTATTAAATTATGAATGATTTATCATTAAGTTAGTAATGATTTTTATTAAATTGTTGATAATTTATCACTAAGTTACTGTTGATTTATCTTATATAAATATTTAAAAGCCAAAACCTTTGACAAAAAAAAAAAAAAAATCCAATGTGGATGGCCTAACTTATTGACATATGGACTATCTTATATTTTTTACATGTGCACTCATTTTAATGCATAATAATTAATTTAAATTCAAATATTTAATTAAATCAATATCAATTATCACCTTAATTATCTTTTAGTAATTCCCAATTTTAAGGCTCAATATTGTTTTTTGAAGTCCATTTATATTACTTTGAATTTAATTCTTTTCAACCAATCTAAATTCAAAACCATATATATCATCTTTATTTTTGCTAATCTTTAATTACTTTTAAGCATAATTTCCTTCCCTATTATTAATTGAATTAAAAGTCAAAATTGTATATTTTGTGACTATTCATTTTTAATTCTATAAATAAATAAATAAATTACAATTTAAATTGCCTTAAATCAATCTTAATTAAATTAAATTCCTAATTTTAGATATCCAACTTCAATAGGTTTGCTTTGATGCATTATAATATTGGCTTTGAAAGTTTGCTAGATCTCTAATTCTTTTATTTTTATTCTTTATTTTTGTTAATACTTCCTTGGTGCTATTTGTATTTTTTTATTATTTAATTTAGTCTTATATACATTTATAATACTTATTTTGATTATGTAAACTTTTTTATTATGTTTTATTTAAGTTTTGCAAATTAATATGAATATATAGTCATTCATTTTTTGGATTGTGATTCTGATTTTAGTGGCCAAACCTTGAAGTAGTAAATTTGGCAATAAAAGTGATTATTCAAGGATGCCATTTAAACAGTCTAGATTATGCCTTTATTATTGATATTACTGAAGCCTTATTATTATTTTTAAAAGGATGACTATGTTAGTGAGTACGATGGTTAATATTTTTACAAGGTAATAAAAGATTATAGAGCTATATGTGTGAATGAAGTGGAAGAAAACAATTAGATACCCTTACTTATAGGAATTCTTAAATTAAATTTGATGCAGCTTTTTATAAAGATGACAAATGGCTAGATAGTGAATGGTGATGTAAGACACATAAGGAAAATTTTATTTAAGTATAGTCCCCAAAATTAATCATATGACAAATTTTCTTCATTAAAAAATGAGAGAATTTTCTTTTAAAATGAAATGTTACCTTTTAAATGGAGTGGATAGTGCATGATATTGTTGAATTTGCCAAAGTTATGTTACCTACAACTTTTAGCATGTAAGGAGTGTATGCATCGAATTTTGTTTGGAATATTTTCAACATGATTGACCCAAAGCTCATTAGCAAACATGGTCCTAGACCATTTAGGACCTATAAAGAGCTCACAAATTTGCCTATTCAGAAATCCAAAATCAACTCAAGTCAAATTTGGTCAAACAAAGTTAAAATTAAACAAAACTTGATCAAAATGTACAGAGCCCAAGTCAATTCTAAAAATTCAAAATCTAATTGGAATCAATACAGTTTAAAATTAAATTTGAGATTTTTTGAAACACTAAAATTTTTATTGTACCCCTTGAAGAGTAAAATTACCAAAACACTTTACAAGGGATATTTTGATAATTTGACCTTTTTGAGCTTAGATTTTAGTGAAACTTTTCAGATCTCAATTTTATAACATTTCATGATTTTTGGTACATTTGAAATTACAGCAGCACCCCAAGAAGTATGAAATTACCAAAATACCCTTATAGGGGTATTTTTGTAATTTGACTTTTTCAAATTTGGATTTTCACGAAACTTTTCACATTTTAATTTCATAATATTTTATGATTTTTGGTGTTTTAAAATAAAAAAAATGAGCATGAGAACATTAATTTTTAAGAACATAACCTAAATATAAAAAACTTTGTACTATGGGTAAACTGGTCTTTTATGGGTTTAGAAGCTAAAAATCCAACCTTTGCAAGGAATAATGTGAACCATTGGATCTCTTTTGAATATTGATCTAATGGTTAAAGCTTGTTCCTTGAAAAAAGAAAGAAAGAAACTTTAGCCCTTGGATATAACTTGATCTAAAAGCTTATATTCATCAAGAAATAAAGTTTAATTTTTTGAAACAAAGAGGCAAGTATGGGGAACATTCAATGGGGAACAAGTTGATAGGCTGAAGTGAAGGAATGGCACCTGCAACAAATGATGAGAGACATGGTTAGTGGAGTAAGAAAAAAAAACAAACCTTGAAGCCTTAAGAATGAAGGTTAGGAAGCTTTAAAAAAAAGTTTTTTGGAGTTTAAGAGGGAAAGCAAAAAACCACAGAAAAGGAGAGAGTTTTCAAGATAGGAAACAAGGAGAAAAAAAGATATTGTAATAGAAGGAAGACATAAAAAAAAAGAGAGGTGGCTGGTTGAGGATGGCGTGAATAAAAAGAACAAAGCAATATATATAGATATATATATATATATATATATATATATAATAAGCATACATGTAGCAAGCAAAACAAAAGGAGAGGAAAAAGAGGAAGTAAGGCTATTTGTACAAAGTAGAAATAAGGAAGGCAATGGACTAGGATTACTTCTTAACATTTTTTTCCCTTTTTTATTTTTTATTTATTGTTGCTTGCATAGGCATGCTCAATATGTATTGATTGTGTGTCTTGTTAGGTTTATTAGTTGGTGTGTTTGCTTTTCTTACTTTCATACTCCATTGTATGGAAATTATGAGAGCATAACCAGGAAAAGTTATCAAAGACAAGTTTCATTTTATTTTTGTTTGTAAAAAAAAAATCCAACACGACTTATGTTCATGGCTATTTGGTTAACATGGAAAAAGTTTTAAATAGTAAAAATAAAACCCAAAAATAAAAGACAATGATATTCTGTATGAGGAGAAATTCTAGCTTGTTTTTCTTTCCTTTCTTATGCTAACAGCTAGCATATAATGGTCAACTTTCAAACCTTTCTTGTTTATTATTATTATTTCTTTTTTTGGTTGCTAAGCTTTCTTTTATTGCATGTGGAAGAAAAGTTCAAAGTTTGAATTTGTTTTCCCTTCCA